CACAGTGATTTTGAACCAGAAAGACTATCATGAGAAAGTTATGACACTCCTTAGTGACTTAACCACTTATGAACCTCTGGAAAGAGATCCAGGAAGTGGTTACAAGAAGAAGTTAATGGATTGCCTGAAAAATTTTGAGCAGGACAAGGCTATTGACCGTATTCTGTACCACAGACTGTACCCAGGGGAGGCCACACCTAGTCTGTATGGTTTACATAAAATCCACAAACAAGGTGTACCTTTAAGACCAATTGTTAGTATGATTAACTCTGTCACTTACAATGTTTCCAAATATCTGGCGTCTGTACTCATCCCTTTAGTTGGCAGCTCAGAACACCACATACAGAACACCATGGACTTTGTGGATAAGGTGAGGGATGTCATCATGGAGACTGATGAAACAATGGTCTCTTTTGATGTCACATCACTCTTTACGTGCATTCCTGTTGATGATGCAGTAGAGGTGGTCAGTTTAAGATTAAAATCAGACACCACTCTGAGCAGCAGGACCACACTTTCCACAGAACAACTGTGTCAACTCTTGAAACTGTGCCTGCAGTCAACCTACTTCACATATGGGGAGCAATATTATAGGCAGAAACATGGGTGTGCTATGGGGTCTCCAGTTTCTCCTGTTGTTGCCAACCTGTACATGGAGGAGGTAGAAAAGAGAGCCTTGACGTCCTTTTCAGTGACACCACCAAGTCATCGGTTCAGGTATGTTGATGACACCTGGGTTAAAATTAAATCTCAGGAAGTCCAACATTTTACTGACCACATCAACTCTGTGGATAAATACATCAAGTTCACACGAGAAGATGTAAAAAATGGCAGGCTGGGTTTCTTGGACTGTGAGGTCTCAGTCTCTGATAGAGGACATTTGCAAACTGAGGTGTACCGCAAACCCACCCACACAGACCAGTATTTGCAGTTTGACTCCCATCACCCTTTGGATCACAAGTTAGGAGTCATCAGGACTCTGTACCACAGAGCAGACAGCATCCCCACTAACTCAGGAGCCAGGCAGAAGGAGAAATCCCACACAAGACAGGCTCTAGAGCAATGTGGATATCCTAACTGGGCCTTCGTGAAGGCAGAGAAACCCAAACAGGACTCCAGTCAGCCATCAGGTGAAAAGGAGGAACCCAGACCCAGACCAGTGGTCATTCCATATGTTGAGGGAGTATCAGAGAAACTGAGACGTTTATTTTCTAAACATAACGTCCCAGTGGCTTTTAAACCCCAAAATACATTAAAGACTGGTTCATCCCAAAGATCCAGTCCCCCGGCACAAACAGAGTAATGTTGTGTATGTTGTTCAGTGTCAGGAGGGTGATCAGTCTTACTTCGGGGAAACTAAACAGCCACTGGCCAAAAGGATGGACCAGCACAGAAGATCAACATCATCAGGCCAGGACTCTGTGGTCTACACTCATCTCCAGGCCAGCGGTCACTCTTTCAGGGATGAAGATGTTCACATCCTGGACAGAGAGGAACGATGGTTTGAGAGAGGAGTAAAGGAGGCCATCTTTGTGAAAAGAAACCGTCCATCGTTAAACAGGGGTGGAGCCTCCGGGTTCAACTGTCCCCCTCTTACAATGCTGTGATTGCTAGTATCACTCAGCCCTCTGTGAATAGTAAACAGCCATCAGGTGCTAATGATCCATTGTTAGGCTGATGGTCCTTCTTGAGCATGTGATCAGCTGGTTCTGGTTGTCAGCAGCAAAACTGGTTGATCCACTCTGAGAAGGTGCTATTTAAGAGACTGAGCTGAAAACAGCTCCTCAAACTGAGGAAGTCTCTCGGATGAGAGACGAAACGTTTCTACAAAATTTTTTTGTGTTTTGTTTTTGTTGTTGTTGTTGTTGTTGTTGTTGTTGTTGTTGTTGTTGTTTTATGTCCAGAGGACCAGATTTAACTTTTTTAGATTTTTTACCTGGATTATTGAGCATGCGTCAGGAGATCTTTTTTCAGTGTTGTCATTTTAGCCGCTAGTTAAAAAGTTGTTTCCCAAATGGATTCAGTGTTCTCTTTTCTTATTCTTTACACTTTGTAACATAACCAAAGCCATTAAATATTGCCACCTTGGTGAGTAATGGATCATTTGTGCAGGAGTTTCAGCCACGGTCAGGTCTACTCCAGTCCTCCTTCATCAGTCTGTACACCATGTTTCTGACCTGGTCTGCCATGACCAATGAGCCAAGTGAGTTGACCTTTTTTTTTTTTCTGCTGTTATTTTACTAGATGTCAAACTAAGTCAGGGGTGTCCAATTCTGTTCTTTGAGGGCGACAATCCAGTATGTTTTAGAGGTTGCTCTGCTCCAACATACGTGATCTGAATGAATGGGTGATTAATGGGCCTCTGTAGAAGATTAAAAAGTGATTCAATCACTGAATTGGGTGTGTTGGAGCAGTAAAAATAAAACATGCAGGGTGTTTCAACAATTTCCTGCAGGATCAACAAAGTTCCATCTTATCTGTAGTGGCCCTCCAGGACCAGGATTGGACATCACTGTTACAACCCATTTCAAAACTTTTTCTACCAGAAACTGTTTGTGACATACAGCACCTTGAAAAAGTATCCACATCCCTTAAACTTTTCCACATTTTGCAGCACTACTCTAAATCAGAGGTCACTAATAGGCAGAGCTCGATCCAGATCCGGACCGAGTGATGGTTCTGTCTGGACTCGTGCCCAATCTGATAAATTCACAAAAACAGACAATTTTCATGGAACATTTTTCCAGCAATAGAAAGCTTAGGTGCAGAGCCAAGCAGAGAAGCAGGAGGTGTGTAATCACACATGGCCCTGATAATGTGCACCCTATTTTTTTTAAGTTCCGGGGCACCCCATGTCATTACTTGTTGCTCACTGTGGCTGTACTCCGACTCTGCTGTTGTTGCTAAACAACTTTGGTGAGATCTACAATCAGCAAAATTTAAAACTATTCAATCATCTACTCGACGGTGAGTTGTCTTTTTGTTTTAAAATACTGTTTGGGCGTGTTAGTAGCTGTTTTAACTCCGCAGCAAAAATCACAGCACTTACAATGCAAGATTTCATAGAGCTAACGGCTAATTTGGCTACTGTTTTACCCTGGTCAATATGATCTTCCTAACCATGTATTTATATAATATGCTAATAAAGTTACTCAATAAGTAAGCCGATTAAAAGTTCATACATTTAGTAATTAAAGGACATATTTGGTTGAATTTATTTGAACTACTTTAATGGATTTTTTTTACTCTCTGACAAACTGCTCAAGCGGCAGTGGTGGTTTTGTATTGTTTAGTACTGGCTTGGTTTGAATTAATTTGTAGCTACATATTTTGAACCTGTTGCGCAACTGTTATTTAAATTGAATGTTTGATTCCTTTGTTAGCCTTAAAGGTAACTGATTTTGAGTTAACATTTTGAAAATTTGCCTTAATATGTTTATGAAGTCAAATGTTTATGAAATATAGCATTTATTGAATACACATTTGTTTTTTTGTAATGGTTACAAACCATTTAAGCTAATGCTAATTTTATTTATTTGACTATGTACTTGATTTGTTTTTGACCTTTTAGGTCAGGTTTTTTTGTCACCCCCGTTAACAACCTTCTACAATTGATGGCGAGCTACCTACTGACCACACTGTGGTAGGAAATTGATATCTTTATAGTAGAAGGAAAGATGGTTTGAATATTCTCTAATTGAAATAATTTTATTTATAAAGAATCTCATGAAGTCATCACTACTTATAGTTGTAGGGACACATGGTTCAACAGAAATGGGACTTTTAGTCTAGCAATAGTACTAAACAGAAACCTAGGGTTATTTTTATTCTCATCTATTAAAGATGAGTAATATAAAGTTCTAGCTTTACGGAGAGCTTTTTTTATATGTTAGCAGACTATCTTTCCAAGTTAAATAAAATTCTTCAACATTAGTAGAGCGCCATTTTCTCTCCTGGTTTCTAGATGCTGCTTTAAAGTACGTAACTTCGAATTGAACCAAGGAGTCAGCTCTAATGTTAAAAATCTAGGTGTTATTTTTGATCAGGACATGTCTTTTATCCCCCGCATTAAAAACGTTACTAGAACCTCCTTCTTCCACCTGCGTAATATCACTAACATTAGAAACATCTGATCTAAAGATGATGCAGAAAAACTGGTCCATGCATTTGTCACGTCTAGACTGGACTATTGCAATGGTTTATTATCTGGGTGTCCAAATACTTCTTTAAAACGTCTTCAGTTGATCCAAAATGCTGCTGCCGGAGTCTTAACTGGAGTTACTGGGAGAGATCATATCTCTCCAGTTTTAGTTTCTCTCCATTGGCTCCCTGTCAAATCCAGAATAGAATTCAAAATCTTACTTCTAACCTACAAAGCTCTCAACAACCTGGCTCCATCTTATATTACAGCTCTTATTGTTCCATATTTTCCTAACAGAGCACTTCACTCTCAGACTGCAGGTTTACTTGTGGTTCCTAGAATTTACAAAAACAGAATGGGAGCCAGATCCTTCAGTTCTCAGGCTGCTCTCTTTTGGAACCAACTTCCAATCTCTGTCCATGAGGCTGACACATTATCCAGTTTTAAAACTAGGCTTAAGACTTTCCTTTTTGCAAAATTCTATAGTTGGTCAGCTTGGGTTTCCTAGGCTGTCCCTTAGTTATGCTGCTATAGGCTTAGACTGCTGGAGGACAAACTGACCTCAATTTTCACCCTGCTGCTGTATTTACTTACTCTGCTCAACCTGTTTTGTATTTGTAATTATTTTTTCTATCCTCAACATGTGTTTTTTTTTTTTTTTTTTTTGTCTTTCAGGTACACCTGGACCTATATCTGGACCTACAATTCTGTGTTCGTCTGTCTCTCCTTCCTGTCCTCTCAAACCAGCCGGTCAAAGCAGATGGCCGTTTGTCCTGAGCCTGGTTCTGCTGGAGGTTTCTTCCTTTTTAAAAGGGAGTTTTTCCTTTCCACTGCTGCCACTGTGCTTGCTCAGGATGGGAGACTGCAATGAAGCCAAGATTCAATTTGTCTGTTGGATTTCTTCGATAAAGAACTTTACTAATTGACTATTATGTACTTTGTATGGGGCAGCACGGTGGCGCAACTGGTAGAGCTGCTGCCTCTCAGCGAGCAGGTCCCTGGTTCAAATCCGGTCCAGGGGCCTTTCTGGGTGGAGTTTGCATGTTCTCTCCGCGCATGCGTGGGTTTTCTCCGGGTACTCCGGTTTCCTCCCACAGACCAAAAACATGCATGTTAGGCCGATTGGTAACTCTAAATTGTCCCTAGGTGTGAGTGAGAAAGTGAATGGTTGTTTGTCTCGTTTGTCTCTATGTGTCTCTGTGATGGACTTGTGACCCGTCCAGGGTGTATTCCGCCCCTCGCACAGTGATTGCTGGACATGGGCACCAGCGACCCCCGTGACCCAAAATGGAATAAGCGGGTAAAAGATAATGGATGGAATGAATAATGTAGGGGCGCACTTGAGTCAAATGTTAAAGAACAATACCAATGTGTCTATAAGTGCTCACTGATCAGGCACAATAAATCTGGTACATATTGGATGATATTTCACTGAGATATAACTGCTGGAATAATGGAGGGTGCGCACTTGAGTCAAAAGTTGAAAAACAATACCAATGTGGCTAGAAATGTTCACTAATGACATGTAGTGTGACAAGGGCCAGGTTAGCAACCCTTTCACTATTAATTATTTAAATGTAACGGGTTCTCTTTTTTTCGAGTTAAATTACTGCCATGTGATGAGATAACTGTGATGATTGTTTAAATCAGTGACATGAGACGTTAATTTCCTTTGACCCATCAGAATAAATGTGGTCATTTATTGAACAGAATCAAAATTTAACATCAAAACATTGTACACTTGATTAGCTGATCTGGTTCTGATTAATAAAACTTGGCACGTTTTACTTAATAAGACAACAGGACATTTGAAGATGGCATCTAGACTACTGGCAAAATAGAAGAGTTTAAAGATGGGAAATGAAGAGTTTAAAGACACTTGAAGGGGAGGTGTTTTGTTAACCAGAATTAGCACGCTTCTTTCAACACCAGCTCAACCCTCCGGTACACTTCAGGACGTGCAGAGACTTTGTTACCTTAGACGGGGATACCTCCGCTCAGGAACAGGAGTCCATTAGTACGATCCTTTTACAGCGTCTCCGGGCGGTGGATGGGCATCGTCAGAAGTCGTGTGGTTTACTCCGTTAAACAGAACCAGCTTCCTTGAAGGTTGTAGGGCATTATACCCGGGTGAGTTCACAGCGAGCTGTGAGTCCGTCAGAGGTTCCACTCAGATGTGGAAGACTCCATATTCCCAACTCGACTCAGAAGACTTGAAGACTTGAAAAACCATAAGACTCCAGGAAGTGTGGACTTTTAAAGAGTTCTCACTTCTGGTCACTTCAGGACTTCCTGATTGGTTGAAACAACCAACAGGGGGTGGTTCTAGTGATGTCAGAGGGTTATTACAAGTCAAGAAAGTGCAAGAATGTTTAGGAACGTCCAGTACAGACAGAAGAAATGTTTTGAAGAAGTGAGAGCAAGCAGGTGCCAGTTGCTTCTTATTTACTGTCTGCTAGGTTTAAAAACAATCCACTTAGTTCTAATAACTCCTTTCTGACTTTCGACCGACATCACTACTTCTCATTCAGACAGAAGATCAAAATGCATAATTACTTTGTAAATAGACATTTAACTTGATTTCTAATTTAAATGAGGATTAAAAAATCATTAATACTGTTTCACATGTAGTGATGTAGGGTTAGTTAGTGTAGGAGCTCCACTACAATCAATATTTAATGACGGGTTCTCTCTTTTTCGAGCTACTTGACAGATATGTGAGAGAGATATTGTGTTTAGAAGTACAGTGACGTGAGACATTAATTTTCTTTGACCCATCAAAATGAATGTGGTCATTTATTAACAGAATCAAAATTTAACATCAACATTGTACACTTGATTATTCTGATTGAACGCAATAACACAGCTTAATTAATGAGCTTTATAATGAGAAATCATACGGCCATGATTTCTCACTTGCAACTGAAATACAACAGACATTTCTGAAAATATCTGGATTAATTACTGGCAAGATAGAAGAGTTTTAAAGATGGGAAATGAAGGAGTTTAAATGGAGAGGAAAAAGATGGATGAGGATGTATGTCTGTAGACCAGAACAACAC